TTTCTGTGGGAGGCAGGAGGCCAGCTGTGCATGGCGGTCCTCCTAGGAGGTGAGAGTCCCCTTCTGTGACTGTATCTCTTGTCTTATTTGTCCCTGTTAACCCTGTAGTCATCGGTGCCTCAGGACCTAGACATTTCAGGGTCTGAAGTGGGTCAACCTTTGCCTGGTGGCTCTGGGGCACAGGAAGAGTCTCAGTGAAGAGGAGCCAGCAGCATGTCAAGTGACTCAACTCTCCAGGACCTCACCAAACTACAGGCTGCACACAGGGAGCTGTTCGCCAAGCTGCCCAAAAGCCTGCTCAGGGGTGCCCGGCCAGGCCACCAGGACGGCTTCCTGAGTCCCCTGATCCTCCTCTGTGAAACCCCACTGTAGAACTGGGTGCTACTCCTCTTTTCCAGGGGGTCCTGCTTGCAGCTGTCTGCCACAGGCCACAGTGCTGAGTCCTGAGTGGGCAGCAGCCTCCTGGACGAAGTTGCGGTGAAAGGCTTCACACGAGGGTGGGCTTGACAGGCTTCAGCAGTGGTCCGGGTCAGAGAGGTAAGGTACCAGGAGAGGAATGGGTCAAAGACCAGCAGGAGAATTTGAGTTAAGAAACGGGAGATCTCAGGGAGCGACCAGACAGGGAGGGAGCACTTATCTCTCCACTGTCTCTGGGCTCATAAAATTCACGGGCCGGTGCAGGGCACAGGAGCCATATCGCATCTCCTGCCCCCAGCCCTTCTCTTGCCATGGGCCTGAACCCTATTCCAGCTCTAGCTCCAAGTCACACCAGGACCCGCCAGCGCCTACTTCTGGCCGGGTACAGCGTTTGCACACGCGGCGCTTGTGCTAGTGGGGCTAGTGGCTGCACGTGCAGGTGCTGGCTGGATGTACCGCCCAGATTTTGATGGGATCCGAAGCCGCCAGCGCTCTCAGTACAGCTTACCAGCGCCAGCAGTACAACTTACCCCCACAATTTCCCCCAAGATTGGGCGGCTGGAGACCAGGGAGGGCGCGAGGCCACAGTCATTTGGGCCCAGCGACTGTGCGGCACGGCACGTTTCTTACCAGCGTGCCTCCAGAGCTGGGGTCTCCCGATCTATCTGCCTTGTTCCCTAGGGTCACCCGGAATGGCTCAGTTACAGCCTCGGGCCAACCACCTACAGGACGGACCGACGCCGGAGCGCGCCCGAGGGGCCTGGGTCCCTGCGCAGGCAGCCGCCAGGGGGCTGGGAGCGGGGCACGAGCGCAGAGCCTCCCGCAGGCCCGCGGCTCCCGGCTCCGGCGAAGGTCGAACTCCCACCCCGGCGCCTCGGAGACTCCCGCGCGTCCGCGTCTGGGGCGCCGAGGCAGAGCCGCCGACGTCAACAGAGAAGCCGGAGAAGCTGTTCCTGGCGTGGCCACCGGCTTCCTTTGAGTCCTTGAGGCCGCATCCAGGCAGGCGCTGGAGGCAATTCCCAGCTATCAATCCTGAAGTGAATTAACCGGGTCACGTAAAGCCCAGCCTCTCTCCGAGCCTCCCTCAGCGCCTTGAGGGACGTAGCCTGAGCCTGCCCTCCATGTTCTGACTTCTGGAGGAGAGGACCCCAGCGCCCCGACCTCTGCACGGATCCACCTGTGTGCATGTTCGCTCCAAGTAGCCCAGAGTCGACGCCGGGAGCCCCCTGGGCGCGCGCACTTTGTTCGGGGAGCCGGTAAGCCCTAAGACTCGTGGGCTGTCAGGCCGCCAGAGACGGCGGTGCGCAGGAACTTGTGCTGCTGGGAGCCAAGCTCTGAGAGGCCCGTGTCCTTACAATAGACGGGGAGTGAGGAGTGGGGCCAGTGGGTGTGGGGGGCTGGTCTGCCCGCTCCCCTGGGGCAGCCACGTGTGCCCAAGGGAGGCGGAGCCGAGCCGCAGCGAAGCAGACCCGCAGGATTCTCTAGGGGTCTGTCTCCTGCGCACTGGGAACTTCAGGAATTCGACTGGCTTCGCCTCCGACCCCGCAGATGGCCGACCAAAGGGTGTGTGAGTTGAGGCAGAGTCCAGCGACGGTGCTGGGGTGCAGCCAGACGCCCATATGGCCTGCCACAGGGCCCAGGGTTCAAGGCAAAAAACAGCTGCCCAGCTTCTCAGCCCCATTCCGCTCCTCCATCTCGAGCCTCTGCTCCCCACTCCTTTCCTATCAGCCGTCAGTCTGGAAGCTAAAATTCGGTTTTAGGGCCCGTGAAATGGTCTAGTCAGGGATGTCAATCCCCTGCCTCAGCTTTGAAGAATTGCTCTTCTCGCTCTTCCTGGCATGTGGAGGAGCGGAGGGTGCAGCCCAGGCCCCAGCCACGCACTGCGCCCTCAGGACTAAGATGTGCAGCTCACGACCCCTGCGTGCAGCCTGGCTCGGTGGGGCTGCAAACCACCGGCTCGCAGCCAGGCCTCCTACCGCCACGGTGGAAGCGCGGCCGGCAGGGGGAGCGAGGCGGAAGGGAGCGGCGGCCGGTGCAGGTGAGGGGGGAGCTCTTCCCGAGGGTAAGGCTCTGCGTTCCTTCTGAACCTGTGCGCGCGGGGTGTAGAGCTACCAAATGGGTTCGTTCCTTCGCGCTGCGAGCGAGAACTGACCGTCAGGCAGCGACCGGAGGAGAGGAGCTCGGGCCAGTTACTGGGCGACAGGCACCGACCTCACAGTTTCGGGGCAGCGCCCAGGGTGGGGGGCGGTCCTAAGAGCCGGGTCCTGAGGTCCGCAGAGGCGGCAGCTCTACTGCAAGCTGGAGGCTCGGGTGGACTCTCACTTGCAGGGTTTCGAGTTTCTTAAGCCAGTCTTCCTAGGGGTTCCAACTTTCTACTGTAAGGAGAGTTAGGGAGGAAGGGATGCCGACGACCAAAGGGGTGCGTATCTGCTGCTAGTGGAGCGGGTTGGCCACACACAGAACAGGCTGAGTGGGGCCCCTCAGCCATCCCCAGCGAGCCTTTGCTACAGGGATCGTTTGCATCCTGCCTGTGTCTTTGCTGTGAAGTGTTTGCTGACCCACAAGTGCAGCCACAGCAGGAAGGGGTTAATGGAGACTAGGGAGACTTCCCCTACCACTGCAGGTGAGGGCTGGGGGCATCAAGACAGACCCAAGGGCTGAAGCAGAGTAACCAGGGGTTCCAGAGGTTTTTCACTTTCACTTCTCAGTGTTGGCCTCATTGGGGCCCAGAAGCTGGCTGTAGCCCTGGGAAGGGGTACTGGGGAAGTGCTCAGCTACTCCACCCTGGGACGGTGTACATCCCAGTCATGCAAGATCACCTGTCAGAGCCCTCCCTCTACATCTCTGCACAGAACCTCTGTAGACAAAGAGCTTGATGCTGCTACATCTCTGCATACTGCTGTGACCTTTATGCACCCGCCCACCTGCCCAAGGCTGGGCTAGCCTACGGAGGCAGTCCCTTCTGGGGTTCTGGAGGCAATGGGGTATCCCTGCTGGGAGAAGATGAAAATAACCTGTGGCCCACCTAGACTCCACACTACACTCCTTAGGTCTGCCCCCAGGCCAGTGACACAGGTCACTATCAGTCCTCTGAATGGCCAGCCACTCAGCAACCAAGGAATGACCTAGTGACAGCCTCCCTGTCTTAACATGCGTGTCCTTAAGCTCTCAGCTGCAGATTGGGGCGGGCTGAGGGTACCAGTCCAGTTTCACACACACACACACACACACACACACACACACACACACACACACCCCACACCCCGACCCTTCTCACACAGCTCCTGGGTACCCACTCCCTGCACCCCTGGCCTTGATCCTCCCTAGAATTCAAGTCTCCACCTAGTACAGCCCAGGAAAGGAGGCCCTGAGATTGTAAACACCCTAGGAGAGGCTGTCTGCATCCCGCCACATCCTGAGTCAGCTCAGCAGAAGGCCTGGTCCGAGGAAGGCCTTGGAAACAGGGCCTTGTCTCCTAGTCTTCAGCAGAGTCAGGGAGGTTCTGGGCTTCATATCCTGAGCATAAAGGGCATGGGCACACTGAACGGGTCAGAGAGGCCCCAGAGATAGTAGAGAAGGTGCAGGAGAAGAGGGGCATTGATGTACTGACCTTGGACCTTGAGGCCCAAAGGCTGAGGGCCTGGTCCTGCACCTTAGCAGCTAGGCCTTGCTGTGGGCAGGCTGGCTGCAGGGTGGAGAGGGGACAGCACCCCACCATGCGGTCTGAATTTCTCCGACGTGTCCTCAGCTCCCTCGGCCGGCCAGGCCCCGCCCCCGGCCCTCCCTGCGCCCCGCTGGTGCGCAGGGAGGTCGGAGGAGCGGGCACTGCCCACCCTCCGGATGTAAAAGCGTCCTGGCCAGAGGCGGGCGGTGCGCGCGGGGTGCGCGTGACGCTGGGGCTCCCGGGCTGTACGGCCTGGGCGGCGTCCCACGGCTCGCTTCCCCACCACGAAAGCAAGCTGACCCAAGGGGCCTGTAGGGGCATTTGCTGGTGAGGTCCAGCTCTGCGGCCGGAGGGACGAAGGACTCCGCAGCCCTGGGGCTATCAGCCTGTGGCCTGTGCGAGAGCCGGAGCCGCTCTCTTACCCAGGTGCAGGGGCCGCTGGGGAGGAGGTGGAGGCAGGTGGGGCCAAGGGCAGGGCTAGACTTAGGCAGCCCCTCAGTGCCTCACCAGTGCCCTGCCATCTCAGACTGGGACTGAGTGCTTGAGACACAGCGGCTTCTCCTTTGGGGCTGTAGACTCTGGTGGTGGCTTCGCCTAATAGAGGGGACGCCCAACCTCCGCAGAAGCAGGGGGATGTTCAAGGGGCGTTGGTCACACGGAGTCCTGGGAGCAGAGGCCAGGGACAGAGAGCTTGGAAAGCAGGAGGGCCCTGAATTTCCAGGGCTCATCACCAGTTCGGACTCCCGGGCCAATACCGGCTGAAAATGGGGGGTCTCATGACGCCATAATCCCCTGGGCCTGGGACCGACGGCTGTGAGTGGCACCACAGGCCCCCGCCCCCGGGCCCCCTGCACTGGGCTGGGCGCGGTTCTGCTGGGCGTACGCAGTCGGAGGCGGCGCCGGTCAGGCCCGGGCGCCTATGGACGCGCGGAGCCCGCTGTCTGCCCGGGCCAGCGCGTTCAGCATCGCCTCTCTTGTTGCAGCCGAGGCCTCGGAGGGCACCGCCCACCGGGGCCCCAGGCCCTCGGACTGGGCGAAACTTCGCCGGCTACCAGGATCCCCAGCCGGGATGCACTTCAGCACAGTCACCAGGGACATGGAAGGTGAGCCTTCTGTCCGCGGCTACACCGGCTGGCCGCCCGCTGGCCCCCTGCTGTGAGGCCCTGCGGCCCCGCGGGTAGGAAGGAGCTCTAGGCTGGATGGGCGCCAACCTTGAAGCTGGGACTCCCCAAAGTCAGTCCACCCACCATTCTGGGACTCCAACCTCGGGGACTGAGCACAGCAGCAAGGTCTTCCAAAGAGAGGACAACCGGAGGCTTTGAACCGGCAGAAGGAAAGATGGTTAGGGAAGGGTCAGGGAACACAGTAAGGGGGCGGGGGGGGGGGGAGACAAAAACAAACAAACAAACAAATAAAAAATACAAAGCATCGAGATCATCCAAGAGGAAAGTAAACTGAGAAAACAGAAAATACAACAAAGGTAAGAAAGGAAGACACACACACAGGAAATAAAGATAACGAAAGAGAAAATGAAGGAAAACTTGAGACAGAAAAAAGTAGCGTTATTAAAGAGAAAGACTTTAGATTTTATTTATCTTTAAAAGGGCAAAGACACGAATAATAGAGAACGTACAGGAATAAGAAGAGGTTAGACGAAGGGGAGGACAAGGAGTTTTCAAAGTGGAAAGAGGGACACCGAGAAAAGAGAGAGAGGCAGGGGATTAGGAGAAGCTGCAGCAGCAGGAGGGGAGACGGCAATGAGATGAGAAGTTGAAACCAGGGACACAAAAGGTAGAGGAGCAAGAACTGCGGGAGCGTCTGGCGCGGAGCAGAAGCCAGCGCGCGCTGGCGGCGAGCAGGGGCCGCGCACCGGCCCGCCGTCCCCGGAGCCGGTCGGAGCGGTCGGGGGGCCCGGGCCCGCGGAGCCGCGGCGGGGGAGGGGCGGGGGGGGGAGGGGCACGGGCCATTGTCTCGGCGGGGCGGGGCGGGGCGGGGCGGCTCCGCGGGGCCGGCCCGCGGGGTGGGGCGGTGCGGCCCGGGGCGCGTGCGGCGCAGCGCCCGCCACTCGGCCCGCCGCGCGGGACGGCGCTCTGATCGGCGGCGGGCGGCCTTCGGGTCATGATCTCCGCCGTGTCCAGCCCGTGGCTCACGCAGCTCTCGCACTTCTGCGACGTTGCAGCCTTCGCGGCCAGCAGCCTGAGCGGCCTGGGAGCCCCGTCGCCTGGCGCCGACCCGTTCGGCCCGCGCGAGCCGCCGCCTCCGCGCTACGACCCGTGCGCCGCCGCCCCCGGCGCCCCGGGCCCGCCGCCGCCGCGCGCCTACCCGTTCGCGCCCGCCCCCGGGGCGGCCAGCAGCTCGGCGGCGGAGCCGGAGGGTCCGGGGGCCACCCGCGCGGCCGCCGCCAAGGCGCCGGTGAAGAAGAACCCGAAGGTGGCCAGCGTGAGCGTGCAGCTGGAGATGAAGGCGCTGTGGGACGAGTTCAATCAGCTGGGCACCGAGATGATCGTCACCAAGGCGGGCAGGTCAGGCGCCCCCTCCCCGCGCCCTTGCCCACGTGCGTGCCGCACCTCTGACTTGAGTGTCCAAGGGATGCGCTGGAGCCGGGCGGAGAAGCGGATAGAGGTGCGGCCCGGCCACCTGCGGGTCCCTCTGGCCTCTCTGCTGACCCGGCTCCAGCGACAACCCGAGGAGCACCAACCGCGAGTCCCGGGACTCTGTAGGCTGAGAGTGCTTGCGCCCGACTGCGGTCAGGCAGCCGCCACCTAGGAAACTCCGCGTGAGTTCAGTCTGTACGGCGATCTCAAGAGCAAACACCCCCTAACTGTATGGATAATTTTAGGAAAGAATTAAGACCCTAAAAAACCAGTGCGCTCAGTTTCCGGGAACTCGAGACCGGGTTTTCTTGGGCCTCAATTTCGGCCGCTATGGGCCCAGTTCTCCATAAGCCTGGCAGGGTATCCGTGCCAGTCACCCTGTTATTTGTTTTAAGGGCCGAGAGGGAAAGGGAACAATTGCAGATGCTCCCGATTTGACCAGTAGACAAAGGCGGGTGCTGGGTTGTGTCTAATGTACACACCAGCTCGGTGGCCAAGGAGGCTCAGGGCCTGTTTGCAAAGCCTTCTCGAGGTTTCTGTTTCCCTGCTGTGCAGCCGTCCCAAGGGAACCTAGGGCCTGTCCTTTGCTGCTGCTCTGTGGATTTTCTCCAGGTTCTTTTTGCTGTCCATACCCACACAGCTTACTGAAGAAAGCGGCTAGGCCTCTTGGCCCGGGGCAGAAGAACAAGGGCCTTGAATGTCACTGGAGGGGTTCAGAGGAGAGAGAGGGAACCGGGAATGCATAATCTAAGTCCTTTGCAAGTAGATTCTTGGGGGAAGTGGGGACTTGCCTGTGTCCTACATAAGGTGGGGAGACTCTGGCCAGGTCTTGGGAGCTGGAGATTGGAGTTCTGAGGTGTCGGCTTTACTGGGGGGACTGGACACAGTAGCAGTGGAGACTTTTGGAATCACTGCAGCGCTCGGTTTCATTTTGTTGGAGCCGGGAACTCTTTCACTTTGCTGGATCAAGCAGGGGCGGCTCTAAGAAGTCCGGAGAAGCCGGGGTCTTAGGTATCCTGCTGCTGGTTTAGGCTAAGTCCAGAAGCTTAAGGAATTCTTTGGGCAAGGCTGTCTGTGTGGGCAAGGAAGACAGAATAGGCTCTGGGACCGTGCAGCTGGGCACCTGGTTAGCTATTTCTGTGTTTCAGAGAGGGACCTGGGGCCCGGCCTGCTGCTTGCCTTGCCCATGGTTGGATAAGGGCCTACTTGAGGTTAGAGGTCGAGACTGAAGGTCTGGGCTGAAGACAGCAGCTGAGGAGGGGCCCGGAAGGCAGGGCTGAGCTAGGGGCTGCCAGGCCAGAGAAGTCAGAGCAGAGGGCAGTCCTGTCCGCTCCCACCTGAGGTGGCCCGACCTCCCCCCAGGCGAATGTTTCCCACCTTCCAAGTGAAGCTCTTTGGAATGGACCCCATGGCTGACTACATGCTGCTCATGGACTTTGTGCCTGTGGATGACAAGCGCTACCGGTGAGCGGGCCCTTGGGACCACTGGGACAAGCTGTGTGCTCAGGGAGCAGGGAGGGTGTCCCTGGCTGCTGACAGTCTTCAAATGCCACACAAGCCAAGTAACTCTTTCATGACCGGGTCCTGCTCCACTGACCGCTCCTGCCCTGCTCCCCTTCGCCCCGCTCAGATCCCACCCCGGTTTATTCTCTAGAATAACCTCGGAAATCCAATGTAGTAACCTCTTGAGCTTCTGGCAACAGGCAGCTCAGATGCCTTTGCCCGTGTGCCCCGCCACTTTACCCCTGTCTCCTGGTGAACCTCTTGTCCCCTTCCCCCATCTCTAGAGAACCGTCAGTTCCAGAGCTATGCCGGAAAGGTGGGGTGGCTGGTAAAGATTATGCAGGGCGGGCCTGGGCTGCTTGGACAATTAACAGTAATTAATAAAGGGAACATGGGCCGCCCTGTGCCCAAAGCCACTGGCCAATGACGCCAAAACCAGTCTCCTGCCTCCTGGGCCCTGGGACAGGCAGACCCGCTTACAGCGAAATGTAAGAGGGGAGTGGCTTCCTCTTTTTCTGCCGCAGTAGGGCCCGGACTCCCGCGCCTTTTGTGTGTTGCAGCCTTAGGAAGTTTTCTGGTTTATCCACAGCCCCTTCTCTAGCCTCTGTGACTTGGGAGTCCTGATTTCGCCGTGAACAGAAACAACTCTGAAGCACGGGGTCTTCTTGTTTGCCTCTACATAGTATGACCCCCCCCCCCCCTCCCTCCCGTGTTGCCCTAGGTACGCCTTCCATAGCTCCTCCTGGCTGGTGGCAGGCAAGGCAGACCCTGCCACACCTGGCCGAGTGCACTACCACCCTGACTCTCCGGCGAAGGGCGCACAGTGGATGAAGCAGATCGTGTCTTTTGACAAGCTGAAGCTGACCAATAACCTGCTGGATGACAATGGCCACGTAGGAGACCCCTCTCCGCCTTCTGGACTATCCCCCTGTGGCAGGCCTTCCCCACGGGCTAGAGACAGAGGCAGTACTGGGGCAGTACTGGGGTGCTTGGCCTGAGGGGGGTCGCCTTCCTTCTCTTCCCCACTCTGAGCTCACGGTGGGGGCTCTTTCATTAGGAAGGATGGGCCCTTCATGAGAAGAGGGCCAAGGCCTGTGCAATCCCATCCTGGGGGCCGCTCTCCTGCTGGGTGGAGCTCTGCCTCACTGCTACCACCCCCTGCAGGCCTGGGGCGAAACTGGGGGTCCTAAGGAAAGATCAGCAACCCCATCATTTACCCGCTGAAGCATCCTTCCCTGGAGGTCCTAAATGGGCCGCAAGGCCCTGTGCGGTTTGTAGAAGGAGGGCGTTCGCCCCAAACTAGCTAAGGAGATTCAGTGCGTACTTAGACTTCGTGATTCTGGCCCGAGTCTTCCTCCAGCCTCAGGCTGGAGCTGACTCCCACCCTTATCTTCCAGATTATTCTCAACTCCATGCACAGATACCAGCCCCGCTTCCATGTTGTCTACGTGGACCCTCGCAAGGACAGCGAGAAATATGCAGAGGAGAACTTCAAAACCTTTGTATTTGAGGAGACGCGCTTCACTGCAGTCACCGCCTACCAGAACCACCGGGTGAGGGCCTGCTGGGGGGTCCCGGGGACAGGCACACCACTGCCCTCTCCCTCCGCGGGCCGGCCCAACCTCCTATATCAGCTTGACCTCTGTAGCAGCGACTGTCACGGCGGCCTGAAAGTTTGTTTTCCAAACCATTCCGGAAACTCCCCATCAGAGACCTGATCTGAGCTTCACCCAGATTCCGAGGGCGCCAGCTCCGTTGCCCTCTTCGTGCTGGGGGGCTGAGGAGGGCAGAGGTGACCACATTCCCATCCCAGGCAGGGACACTCTCCCTGGTCGCTTATTTGGGGAGGCAAAGATAGGTCTAGTGAAAGAGGAGGCGCACCGTGCGGGGGCGGGGGCTGTTGTGGGCCCCTTCTCCTCTAGACAGCGCACAAAGCCTACCCCTCCAAAGCTAGAAACACTCCCTTGTGCGCCGCTGCGGAGGTCGGGCTGCTAGCACGGCTAGTTTACGTCGGCTTCCCCGCAGATCACGCAGCTTAAGATTGCCAGCAATCCCTTCGCCAAAGGCTTCCGGGACTGCGACCCCGAGGACTGGTGAGTGCCCTCCGAAGAAAAGGCCAGCGCCTGGGCGCTTGGCCTGGGCGCCGGTGGTGACCCACTCCCTTCCGCAGGCCCCGGAACCACCGCCCCGGAGCGCTGCCGCTTGTGAGTGCCTTTGCTCGCTCTCGGAACCCCGTGGCTTCCCCCACGCAGCCCAACGGTGCGGAGAAAGGTAGGACCCGGGGTCGTGGGATCGCGGCCGCAGCCCATGCGCGCTCCGCCCGGGTCGGCCGCCGCACCCGGCCTCGCCTGCACCCCGGGGCGTCGCGGCTTCACCAGTTGCACAAGGAGGTGGCGGGCCGGCAAGCGGGCACTCGTCCTCCCGCCCTCTGTCCCGCCCGCCGCGCCCCGGACGTCGTGGACCCGGGGTGGCTTTGGGGACTGTGGTTCGGTTCGGCAGGTGCCTTCCGGACGGTCCCTGCCCCGCTCTCACCCCCCCGCTCTCCCCGCAGACGCGGCAGAAGCCCGGCGAGAGTTCGATCGTGACTCCGGACCCGCAGCGCTCGGCGACGCCGCGCACCCGCCGCAGCTGCTGGCGCGCGTGCTGAGCCCCGCACTGCCCGGGTCTGGCGGCCTCGTCCCACTACCCGGAGCGTCCGGAGGCCGGCATAGCCCCCCTCACCCCGAGCTGCGCCTAGAGGCGCCGGGCGCGTCCGAGCCGCTGCATCACCATCCCTACAAGTACCCGGCCGCCGCCTACGACCACTACCTCGGGGCCAAGAGCCGGCCGGCGCCCTACCCGCTGCCCGGCCTGCGCGGCCACGGCTACCATCCGCACGCGCACCCACACGCGCACCCGCACCACCACCACCACCCCGCGGTGAACCCTGCCGCCGCCGCCGCCGCAGCCGCAGCCGCAGCAGCAGCCAACGTGTACTCGTCGGCGGCCGCGCCGCCTGGTGCCTACGACTACTGCCCCAGATAGTGCGCCCGCGCGCGCGCGGCCCCAAGGGCCACCTAAGGACGCGCTCCCCCGCTGAGGAGCCTTGCGGGCCTCCCGCCCGCCAGTGCCAAAGCTCCCCACCGTCCGAGGCGGAAGGAAGTGGTATTTATTGTTCTCCGCGAGACCGCGTCGCCTCCGGCCCGGCCGGCAATTGCAGTGTAGACGACCTGAGTGAGCCCCGCCTGCGGGTGGTGTAGATACGTGTAGATATGTGTAGATACTGTAGATACTGCACCGGCGCCGATTTCATAAACGGTTTCGCCTCTTTTGGAAACTGCCAGTGTGGCTATTCATTTGCATCCCGTTCGAGCGGGCATCTTTGGGAGAGAGGGACTTAGTCTTTCCAGGCCTGGTCACTGGTGGGGGCTTGGAGTAGGGGTCTCCACAGCTCTAACCAGCCCCCCACTCCCGTTGGCCTCTCGGCCTCTCTCCCGCAGCTCCCCGGGTCCCCGACAGGCTGGCTGTCTGCGGTTTCCCCGGGGCAGGCACTGGCTTTCCCTTCAGTTCCCTACACCTGAACCTGCTGCTGCAGGACTTGGGCCTGAGCGCTGACCTGTTTGCAGGACTAGACCCTACAGTTTTTCCGAGGAAGCCGGGAATGATGGTCCGGACAGGACACTGTCCATCCGGCCTCCGATGGCATGTGGAAAGACAAAAACAGGCGTGCTCTTCCAGCATTGCCCTGGCTTGGCACCAGCCCAGAGTTGAGTTCCTCCTGTTTATTGACTTTATTCACTGAATGTCCCCACAGAGTGACCGGGGAGGGGTGGGGGGCGGGTGTACAATGACAGTGGTCGTGAGTCATCTTGAAACTCCCGTGTGAAGCAATTTTCCCCAGGCCAGGTGGCTGGGTGACCTGTCTCCATTAACTCAACACCATCCAAGTGGCCAAAGGAACCCTTTGATCCCTCCCTTCCTGAGCAGGAAGGGCCAACCGAAGGCCAGCCAGAGTCAAGGCTGGCTTATGCCTCAAACAAGTGGGAAATGCCAGGTTCTACCCCTGGCCCTCTGTTTCAGTGTGTTCATGGCACTTGCTGCCAGCGGAGACACCCCTTTCCCAGGCACTTCCAGAGGTTAGCCCCAAGTCTAACTTTGTCTCACGTCTGACCTGTCCCAGGTTGGTGGCCAGCCCCTTCCCTCCAAAGGCATTTAGCACCAGGGCATGCAGACTTCTGCAGCATCTGTCCGTATATCCAGAGGAGACATAGCTGTAGGGCATTCTCCTGAGTGCAGCTACAGACACTTATTTCCAAGTCCTGCCCCTACCATACCTTCAAATGCAAGTTTTCCTTCTGCAAGTGACAGCGGGCTCTGCTCAAGGCCACCTGTTCCACATTGGCCTCATAGTTTTGTCCCTGGGAAGCCAGGGACTCCATGTCTACTGGAGTAGTAGCCTGGGGTTTGTCCTGCAGAGGGCAATGGTCGGCTTCAGGCAGCCCTTCTCCCCATGGAATGCAACCATATCACATTCTTTCAACATGCAGGGGAAATGGGGAAGAGCTGTTTCATTAGAGACCTCCACTTTGGTGTTGTTTAAAGCTGAAGAGAGCTGTCCCAGCACCTGGCTTTTGTAAATAGAGTTGGAACACATCACAGAGCAGAGACCCTAAGTGTGCAACTCATTGGCCTTGAAAATATCCCTGATCCCACAGAGCTGGCTCATTCACAAGGAGAACTGGGCCATGGCTAGCCACACAAAAGCACATTTTATGACTCAGGTCCTCACTGGTGTGATTCCTAGTGTCGACCAGAGGCAGCAGGGAAGGATGCTCTCTGCACCATACAGGGACCCTTAAAAACCAAGGACTTCTCCCTCTGCTCCAGAGATGAACCTGAGAGCGTCTTGTAAACAGAAGGCCATGCAGGGCACACTGCTGTCATGTTCTCCTTGCTCCTTTATGGTTGCTGTGTGTCTGCTTGGCGCTGCCTGGCCACTGATCTCATGGAGCTGATCTCCCTATGGGCAGCTGCCTCTGAACTGCCCTTAATTGCCTGATAGGAGGCGGATTTCCAGAAGTTTCTTTTTCTGTGATGGCCAATCTGGGTTTTTGTTTGTTTGCTTGGTGATAGATAGATGTGTATGTGTGTGTGTGTGTATTTATATATACAGACACACTATATATACATACATGCACACACTATCTGTCTATCTATCTATAGAGACAGAGACAGAGACACACAGAGAGAGAGAGAGAGAGACGAGGAGAGGGGGGTTTCACCATGTAGCCCTGGCTGTCCCAGAGCTCATTATGTAGACCAGACTGGCCTCAAACTCACAGAGATCCACCTGCCTCTGCTTCATGAGGGCAGGATTAAAGGCTTGCTCCACCATACCCTGCCTTGTTTCTAAATGTGTACAACCCCAGTTCAGACTTTGCACTGCCAATGTGATGGTATTTGGAGATAGAACCTTTAGAATGTGACTCAGGGGTGGGGGCGGGTGGGTGGGAGCAGGTAGAGCTCCCCTGAGAAGGATTAGTACCCATTTAAAAGACGACATGGGTGCTCTAGAGATAGCTCATGGTTAAGAACACTGGCTGCTTTTCCAGAGGACTGGAGTTCAGCTCAAAGCCACCCGTAACTCCAATGTCAGGAGCTATGACAGATGCCTTCTTCTGGTCTCGTCTCCGCAAGCACTGCCCACACATGGTGCATAGGCAAAACACCTGTACACATAAAATAAAAATAAATTTTAAAAAAAGGGGCCTCTCAGGCTAGAGAGATGGCTCAGAGGTTAAGAACACTGGCTGTTCTTTCAGAGGTCCTGAGTTCAATTCCCAGCACCCATATGGTGGCTCACAACCATCTGTAATGAGATCTGGCTCCCTCTTTTGGCCTGCAGGGATACATGCAAACAGAACACTGTATAGATAATAAATAAATAAATCTTAAATAAAAGGGGGGGTGTCCCCTCATTCTTCTGCCACAGAGAAACTCAAGAATGTGGCCATCTGCAGCCCTCATGAGAGCAAACCACTCCACCACCCTGATCTTCACTTCCAGCCTCCAGAACTAAGAAAGGGAAATGAGCACACCTGTAATCCCAGCTCAGGAGACAGGTGGGTCTTTGTGAATTCTAGGTCAGCCTGGTCTATATAGAGAGTTCTAGGACAGTCAGAGCTACAAAGACCCTCCCTTCAAAAGGAGACACGCCTCCTGCTCCCGCTGCTAGCCAATAGACTTTGGGCAGTTATTTGACTAAGAGCCACTTAGCGGCTTGTCTTGCCCTTCCACTTAGTGGCTCTGAAGCCACACTGCCTGCCCTGCCCTGCGTCAGCTGCTGTGCTGTCTTCTACAGGCACAGAAGGTCTTCTTTTACCTGCGTCTCCTTCATTACCCACACCCCAGTGGCTGAGCTCTCCCCCGTGATGTTCCCAGGGATCCCTAGATGGTACAGATGGTCTGGGCTCCTACTCATGCCTCAAAATTCTTCAGAAACATAATAAACACCCAACTGGAGAACTAGACCAACTAGGGGAGGATGAGACGATGTCCAGAGCCACAGGCAGCCAGCGAGGGATCCCCGGGAGCGCCTGCTCAGCAATGGTGTCTTTGTGTGAAGGAAAGTGGGGGAGCACCATGCTGCCCTGGGTCTCCCCCAGGGGAACATTTGGGATGCAGAGGACAAGGGGAACTGCTGAGGGGTGCCTAGAGTGGTGCTGACAGGGAGACCCTGGCTGTTCGGCAACTCCAGCCCCAGCCCCAGCTGGGGATCCAGAGTGTGTGTGATTCCTGTGATGACAGTGTGGAGGATGAGACACCCAGCTCCAGGTGAACTACAGATCAAAGTGGCAGCCAGAAGGAGCAGGGCACTGGCAGGGACGAATGGATGGCCAAGGAGGCATGATGGCAGGATAGGCTGCTTGGACTGGGCTGTGTGCCTCAGTTTTCCCTCTGTGCTGTGGTGGTGCTGGGTCAGTGTAAACGCTGGGGATCCACGTGGACTCTGGGCTCTGGGCCACTCTTTTTTTTTTAATGTTTCCTGTCCTGTGTGTGTTTCTTAGGGTCCCAGCTGAGCTTGGCCAATGAGTCCCCTCCTCCCCACCCCTCCTCCAGCATCTCTCAAGCCACCTTCACATCCTGCTGTGGATCCAGCCCAGAGCAAGTAGAGACTGGGCCCCTGGCCCTGCGAGGCTGCGGGACCTTCCTCCTGGCAGTGAGTCTCACGTTCTCTGCGTTTCCCTAACCACACATCAAGCCTTTGATTCAGTTCCCTTTCCTGCTTGTTGTATTACTTCAAACCAGATGGGCTCCTCAGATGAAGTCTGGAGACTCCATGTCTGTGTAATGCTGCCAGGTCTGTGTGTGGGAAACAGCAGAGGCAAAGGTATTCCGCTCACATCAGCCGGGCTGGGGGAGGGGATGTTAAGCTCTCACAGAACGAATTACGCTGTCCTCTTGACTGTAAGGGATGGCGTAGCAACATCCTTTATCAGTTTTCGTCTGCCAATTTCAGGTGCCAATTTCACCCCCCTTCTACAATTCCCTGCTCCATTCCGGGACTTTGGGTTCAGGCTTCAGCCTGACAATGTTCCCACCTATCAGAGACATGACTGCCCGTGTCTTTTACTGGGCCCTTGCCCACACATACCCCATACCCTCCTGCTCTCTGCCATTCTAGCCCTGGTTCATGGCAGGACCCGCCTTCCACACTTACCTTTAATCATAGACAGGTTTCTTAGACCTCCCCCCACCCCAAGACAGTTTCTCTTATGCTAGCCTCACACAGCAATGGTGCCAATGGTAGCACCCCAGGCTCCTGAGATGACTATGTATTAGAGCCCTCACCCTGAGGCCCTGGTTCTGCTCCTAGGTGGGTGGAATAGAATCATTCCCTGTACAGCTGACTCTTGGAGGCTGGTGGGCTGGTGGATAGGGACAGCCTGGTAGACTTGGGAACATAGACCCACTACCCGACTGTTCCTGTCCAGTCAGCTTCTGGTCCTCCTGGACTCTTGTGGTAAAGGCCCCTCCCTCAAGGTGAGCTGACTTTCCTGAGGTGGGAGTATTCACAGGAGGAGTCAAGCCCACAGTCAGACCCCATCTCACAGGAACTGCCTGTATCTCTCCTGGCTCAAGAAGCTACCAATGGGCTTCTGAGACCAAGCACAGTCCTGCTCCCCTCCCACGCTGCTGCTCAACAGCTCCA